AAGTTTTTAGCCCATTTTCTGAAACCATCACCGTCAGTTGCTTACAGCCCGGCCCAAGTCCGTACACTTCTCTTTCATCACATATCGAATACCACGTGGCCACCTAAACACAAGCCTCATCCTTTTTCTCCCCCGTCGGCAGCTTTTGTTCCGTCAGCAACCACACACCACTCGCCGCCGCCAGACCTCCGCCGGTACACCCAAGCTTAGAGTGGAAGATTACATGATATGATTTTCATTTGATTTCGACTCGATTCAAAACATGGCCACGCCCCTCATACTTCCTCTGTGCCCCAAACCCCTCCCTAAATCCGTCCTCCAGCTACTCAATCCATCTCCGTCCAACTCCCACATCCGCCTCCGCCGCGGGATAAGATGCCAAGCCACCGGCCAGATGCCGCAGTCCACGGCGGTCTACCAAGGCGTGTACGGCCCGTGGAAAATCGAATCGGCCGACGTCCAGGAGGTGATTCTCTACAGGTTCGGCCTCGTCACCGCCGCCTCCTGCTTCGTGGCCGTGTCGTCCACGGCGTTCCTCGATTGGGAGGCGCTCGATTTAATCAGGAGAAATTCGGATCTAATCTCCGGCTTCGGGGCATGTGGGCTGGGGTTGTCTCTGTATTTGATTCACATTTATGTTACTGAGATCAAGAGAACTCTTCAGGCTCTGTGGTTAATTGGTGCAGTCGGGTCTCTGGGAGCATACGCTGCTCTGGCCCGACCAGCCGGAAAGTGTTTGGTGGATTACGTCGTGGAGAATCCGTCAGCCGTTTGGTTTGTCGGCCCATTGTTTGCTGCTCTCACAGGCCTCGTGTTCAAAGAAGGTGCGGTTTTTGTACTCTCCAAATTTAAAACTGCATTCAAATTTCTGTTGTTTGAATAAGTCGCGCCATAGGTCATGTGATCTTTTGGGTTTTTGTTGGAGCTTGAGCATTTAGCAACTCTAATCTGTTATACGTTTTGCTTTGTTCGTTGGGTCGACAAAGTAGCACCATAAAATGGGTTTTATGTTGGAGCTTGAGCATTTAGACCATTTTAGCTTCAAGACCAATGATAAAATACAAATTATTTGTTCAATCCATTTTATGCATAAGTGTGCCCCTTGCAACAGGGCTTTGCTATGGCAAGCTGGAAGCTGGTATGCTGACATTTATAATACCGTCTGTTTTGCTCGGCCACTTGGTATTTTCCCTTTCGATCATTTCTGATTCACTTTTCTTACTTTAGTTTTTTTCGATAATCTTGATTGGTTTTGAGCATTTTGACAAGAAGAGCCATTGTTCTAGTTGCTTGTTATTGAAATTTGATTTCTTAAAAGGGACTTCTGTTTCTTATTTGGTGTGCAGACTGGGCTGATGGATGAGAGTACTAAACTAACTTTGTTGGGTGTGTGGATGGCACTCTTTGTTGTTTTTGCAGGAAGAAAATTTAGTCAGCCTATTAAGGTTTGTTGGTTTTGTTTTATTGCCTTCATTTCGTGTTGATCTTTAACATGAGATCTCTTACTTAATGGCAGTTGTGCTTCTATTTTGCAGGACGATATAGGCGACAAATCCGTCTTTATCTTCAATGCCATGTCCGAGGAGGAGAAAGCTGCGTTACTTGAAAAACTTGAGCAGCAGAATAATCTGCAGAATCTGGATTAGGTAAGGTGGGAAAGAAAAGAAAATAAAAGCCATCGATTGCCATTTTTTTTCGGTAAATAGAAAGTGCAGCATGTTTGTTGTATTTGTAACTACATATATCCTATAATCACAATATCAATCTTGAATCTTGAGTCTACACGGTTAAGTAAATCTGTTTAAGCGAAATGATGCACAGCTGCTCTTCAGTTATTGCATTATTTGCATCCTGCCTTAGTTTCTGGACAAAAGCATATGTTTTTACTATGTTATATACTTTTCAAAGAACTATGTAGTACAACTATTTTCGAATTGGTTCTTGGGGATATGAAAACCGTGACATATGGTGCCAAACAATCATGTCTCCACACAATCGTGAATATTGGGTGTTTGGCAGCAATCACGAGCAGCAGATTTTCGCACAATTGTCAGATAAATTACATTAGAATAGTTATCAACATGTTAGTTTTGGATAATCATTGTATTTGATCGTATTAATTACTGTATTTTATATAGTATATATGAATTTTATATGGAACTGCCTAAGCCTAGGCGCCAGATCTCGGCCCCAGATCTCGGCCCCTACTTAGCGAGCATTTATCTAATTCAAAATGCCGGTATACATTTCAATTATTTATCGATTATATCTATAAATATATGTATATTGACTTGATCATTAGAGCGAAACGTGGCTCTCTAACTCTTGTTTTTGTTTATTCTTGCATATATATGTGTTTGTGTGTGAGGGTGTGAAATCATGCATCAACAAAACCCTTATAGAGTACTTCTAGAGTAACTCTATTTGTATGAGGTTTACACTGCAAATATGTATAGGATTCAATTCAAATGCTTTTTATATAGAGTAACTATATTTTCTATTTGTATGAGGTTTACACTGAAAAATATGATTATTGCTCAAGTCATATGATTGTTGCTTAAGTCTCACTTAACAACACATTATTATCTTCGTTAGATTCTTCGGATACAATAGGTATCCCACAGAATCTAAAACGGTGATTGTTCAGCCTCGAGATGTGAAAAGGTTCAATCGATATTCCGAATTTGAATGTTGGTTCATTAAATTTTGAGGAATGGAAGGGGTTAATAGAAAATAATCATTCACTTGTAATTGATATCCTTTGTAGAACAGCCACTGCACATTGTGTAAGCTGCAGATAACTAAAATATGTCTTCAAAAAAAAAAAAAAAAAAAAATTACATCAATTGCATTGTGTACGAGATTTGAATTTCATTACTATAAAGATTCCATTAGTCGAATTGCTCTCAAAGTTTATAGTTGAAGGCTGTAAAACAAAATATATTTCCCATAAATTTTGACCGCAAAACATGCCAATATGTAATGTAAGTTGTATCTGCTCTCCTACTCACGGGGTGGGCTAATAATTAATATGTTCACCGCTTATGTGACATGTACATATTTCCGACTGAAGTTATATAAGTTACGTGGAACACATTTACTTTCATCATATTTTATTATTTACTCGAAGAAATCAAGGAGAATACATTTTAACTATTAAACATTTTACTACTATAAATTATGTTTATTCTATATATCATTAAGGCGTAGTCAATTTTCATCACATATGGTGATAATACATTTTATTACTATTAAATGATGTTTATATATTCATCATTATGGCGTGGTCAATTTTCACACATATGGGTTTCTTTAAGTCGCTTAAACAAATTGAAACTGTAGGGGAATGAGAAAATATATACTGAGAAAAAAAAAAATTTAACTGACAAGTAATGGGTCGCCAGTCTTCGATCGGTCATTCAAAAAAAAAAAAAAAAACAGAGAAAAGTTTTAAGTGTAGAGGAGAAAAAATATAAACGTAAAATTGTAGTAGAAGAAGAAGAAGAAGAGAGAGAGGGAGAGAGACAAAGACGAAGAGAAGGGAATATTCGGCATAATTGTAATATTTTTGGTTTAGTGTAGTTATTTTATAAATAAGAACAAAATGATTGTATAAGTATAATATAAAAAAAAAGATGTTACGGTCCTGTTACAGAATTATTTCGTTGGGGTTTGTAACCGTTAGATCAATTATCCACGACGGTTACATGACAATGTAACAATTACAAATCCCAATGAAATAGTTTCGTAACGAGAACTTAGCATTTTCCATAAATAATACTCCCTCTTATTTTTTTAAATGTCATTCTAGCTTTATCAACTATTTGCTAGATAAATGTCGTTTTGGATCTTTTGTACATATTTTTCCATTATTACCCTTATTTAGCCAATAAATACATTACGTCTTTTCATATTCACTCTTCACTTTTTCTCAAAACATTCATCTCTATCTTCATTAAATAAGGTTATTGTTGACAAAAAAAATATTCTTAATGAGTGTGCAACTTCTCAAAACGACATATATTAAAAATAAGAGGTAGTATATGATTGTAAGGGTATAAATTCCTATTTCTTTTATTGGGTAATTATAAATTTTTGACGCAACATTTCAACTCCGCCCATTAAGAACGACGAGGGTAACAAATGGCCCATTAAGATTAAGAGGCCGCACACAACATAATTCTCTCGGGCCTGCAAATGAAAATGTCGTTACACAATGCAAACACATACACGTAATTGTTATTCTGAGTGTGTGAATAAATTCTGCTTCGACTCGTTACCTTTCTCCCTTGGGGAGACAACTTCACCCAATTTCGTCCACCTGGATTCCGGTCTCCGGAGCCTGGTTTTAGGGTTTTGAACGGCGATAATCAAACGGTAACGGAGAATGTTCTTTTCCGGCGATCCGTCCTCACGTAAACGGGTGGATTTAGGTGGCCGGAGTTCCAAAGAGAGAGACAGGCAGAAGCTTCTGGAGCAGACGCGATTGGAAAGAAACCGGCGTCTATGGATGCGGAAGCAAAATTCTGCGGCCCTCATGATTCAGGTTTTTTTTTTTTTTTTTTTTTTTGGTATTGAATATGAATCTTTTCTACTTTTCTTAAGTTGGTGTGATTGTTCTTGTGTAATTGTGTTCATGGATTAAGATTGAGTGTGTGTTAGATTTTTTTTTTTCTTTTAAATATTATGTTGGATGTAACATTTACATTTGGACTAATGAATCTACTGAAGCAAAAGAATAAGGGTAGAGTGGACTGTGGCCTGTGGGTGGTTAGTTTGATTGCATTTGCTTTTGTAATTTCTAGTAGCTTATGGTTTGGGTGGGCTAGGAGCAAGTTCCTGTGGATCTCATTGTTGATTATCAAACTTAATTGGGGGTTAGAGTGATAAATTAGTTCTTAAAAATGTTAAATTTTATTATCTGGCATTCATTCATTGCTCTGGGGAAATTTTCATGAATGGCATTGACAAATATGTCATTTCGTTTAGAGTCCTCACTTAGTTATTTGGAGGTTTGAACTGCTAGCACAGTCATTGAACTATTTGATAGTCGTCTGAACTACTAGATTTGTAATCCAAAACGACGCGCCAGTAGTTCTAATGGCCCAATTGTACTCCACAACACTTAACCAGTGGTTCAAATTGATCATCAAGTACTTTAGACAAGTTATCTTGTATTTAAGCTACTAAGGGATTGGTATTAGTTCAAACAACTGCCTTTTAATTCTAATGACTTGAAACTAGTATGTATGGAGAAAAACATAGAAAGCACCAGAAAACCCACATGAAAATAGAAATAAACATCAAATGACACTCCCGCCTTTTGAATTGTTTGTCCATATCGTAGGGGCAATACAGGACATAAACATTTTTTGCCTTAATGAAATGAAGAAGAAAAAAGGAGATAGAAGGTTCTTGAAATGAAGAATCGAGGCCATTGTTGAGCTTAAACCAGGATGAGATATTCACATTTAAAATGAGAATGAGAAGTGTTGGAAGGCCGAAAAAATAATAAACGTGGATAAATGGTGTGAATGATGTCTAGCACCATTGTTTTGCGCTTAGGACTTAAAACCATGGAACAGAAGAGTTATTATATCATCAATATTTTGTCCTTTTGTTGATTATTTTGATTGGAAGTGGAGCCTCTATAGAAGCATCTAGTATGTATTGCTCATAGTTGAGAAATTGGATTTTATATTTGGATTTGGTTATACTACTTTTTCAGTTGTTTCTATGTCGCTTCCATGTTCTCAGTCTTATGGAAGCACACACATTATAAATTTCAACAAGGCTGAAAAGCAAGGGATTTATACATTTCCATATATAAATAAGAAATAAACAATCTCTGGAGCCACTGTTCACAGCAGTGATCTTGGTTTTGAGATCTGGAAGCTAATGTTATCAAATGGCTGTATGGCATTGCGGATTTTTGACAGACTGCCATGCTGAATTTGTGGTGGTGCATAGGCCGCCATGGTGGGATTTTGGCCTACCGCAATCCGCCATTGATAACACTGCTGGAAGCTCATATATTCTATGTCCTATCTGTTCCTATGTTGTTAATTTTGTTCAACTTCATAGAAAGAGAACATAATGTTTCCATTAGGTTGTTTACGAATAATATGCTTCACAAACCTCCCCACCCGTGTTCTAGAAATTGTGAATGAAAAGAGAAAGCACTATCTTTCGACATTACAGATACTTCTTTGATGTAGAACTATAAGATTGAACAGCCACACATGGGATATATTATAACAAAATGTAAACCTTCATGTCTGAAAAACATTTGATTTTTTTTAATGTCCTGGTACAATTACGTGTCTGATTTAATGATAGAAATTATAACTTCGTAATTCATATAAAAAGGAGTTACCTCGGGTTGGAATCTTAGTATATCAGCACGGGCCGTGGCTTCAGCTTGAGCTATTCTTTGCCTGACAGTCTAAACCAAAGGCCTAATTTTATTAGTGAATTCGGAAAGGAAAAATGGGATAAAGTTTTTCTTTCTACTCCTCTTTTAGTAGGCTGAATGGATCTTGGTTTTAGTGCGGTAAGCTACAACCAAGACAACAACGAAAATGTCTGTAGTGTTTTTATATTTTTTTTTTTATTTTTTATTTGGCTATTTACTTTATTGCATTGATATAATAATTTGGTGAACGTTATGGATTCACGGTGGAGTTCTACCTAACCATACAGTAAATTTGATGATAGTTTTGACTTTAGAGAATGCATTGAAATCCTTCCCCTCTCCACACCCCCCCC